AACTGCGGGAACAACATGGTGGGAACTGCTGCTTTTTCTTTCTTCATCCTTATTATCGTCATTTTTTCCACTTCTTCTTTTGTATGTTTGTCATTCTCTTGTGACCTGCTATTTCTGGGGTGCCTTGATAGTCGAAGCAGACTTTGTGCTGTTGAGGGTAGAGAGGTGAGCAGAGTAAGTCTGATTCCCTGTAAGGACTTCTCTGTTGACATCCACCTTTTGGCGCTCAAATTTGACCTTATGCAGTTGTGAGTGTCGCAAAAACCTCTACTAAAACGAAACAGAAGTGTCTAACCGCTACACCACCCACACCGATGAAGATAGGTTCTTTTCCTCCGTTGTTTCTCTCTGTTTGGTGTTTCCTCTTTGTCTTTGTAGTAATGTTCACTCCTCGGTCCGCGCTACTTAGTTTTTTAGTTTAGTATGGGCTTTTACGGCGTTCGCAACTGCATCAGGTTATATGAGCGCCCGAAACAAGTTGGTTTTTGTTCTCTACAGCTCACTGCTCGGCCTGATTCTGGTCAAACTTTCTAATTAAAATTGTTAAAACGCTAAAAATCGAGAGTAGATAGATTTAAAATTTAAAACAACTTTCTAAATAACGCTTTAAAAGTTCAAATAATCCATTAATTTATAATTTCCCATAAAGGCTAATGGTTTTAATAAAATTCAAAATTCTATGGGGCAACGACGGGGAGCAGATCTTGCAATATTTTGCATTAAAAATATTTCCTTCTGGTCTCTCTGAAGTCTAGACTTTCGGATAAAATGTGTCTAATGGTAAAATCTGTGTCGCATCCGACACGCCTGCTCTGCTTGCAGTGTGGCCAGAGCCTCATTATGCAGTTAGTTGCAAGCCCTGTAAAACCTTCCAAAAACTTTTTAAAAAACCAAAAACCCCCACAAAAAACAACTAAAACTACAACCCCAAAAAACAACCAAAACCAAAACCAAACACGAGCAAAGTGACGAGATGTTTCTCACGAGAAACCAAGTTGTTGTTGAAGTGTAGATCTGGTGCGTCCATCGCTTGGGCAATGATATTATGGATGCTTAAAACTGAGCACAAGAAATTCTGGTGCTTTAGATGAAGTTACCTCTATCAACATATTGCTATGTCCGTCGTCACAGAGAGTTGAAAGCTGGCAACCTTTTGGGCAACTTTTGCCACTTTTCGTGGCAACTTTTGGCAACTTTTGGGCCAAAAAAATGGCAACAGACGCAGATGCCAGCCTTATGCAGGTAGTTGCGAGCCCCGTAAAACCTTCCGAAAACTTTTTAAAAAACACTTTAAAAACTATTTTAAAAAACAAAAAAAAACCGCGAAAACATTTTAAAAAACCAAACTCGAACAACGTGACAAGATGTTCCTCACCAGAAAGCAAGTTGCTGTTGAAGTGTGCCGGGGACTCCCAGCCACACAGCGCGTAGATCTGGTGCGCCCATCGCTTGGGCAAGGTGCCGGTCCTCAAACCGACTCCGGTGACCACAACCAAATCCACGGATTCGTCGATTCTGTCCCCAACGTAGTCGCAGTTGTGGAAAGGGCAGGAGGAGAAGTGGAATTGTCTCACGTAGCTTCTTTTGTTGAGTAAACCGATTCTGAATCGTCTGTTATTTCCGCTGTCTTTCCCCCGAAAAGTAGTAGTAGTCGAAGCAGTAGCAGTCGTAGTTGTTGTAGTAGTAATAGTAGCAGTCGTAGTTGTTGTAGTAGTAATAGTAGCAGCAGTAGAAGTTGGCCTGGTAGTTGTAGAAGATTTGTTGGTATCGCTGAGACGGAAGGAAAAGAGCCCGGTGACCGACTTGTCGAAGTTTGAATCCGTTTTCAGTATGTGGAAATCCCCGAACCTTTCCGTGTAGCTTCTATTTATAGAGTAGGCTTTCAGGATTTCCCCATGTTGGGATTCCCCGCTCCGGGATTCCCTGCAGTCCACGTAAGGGGATTCCCAGCAGACAGCCTTGTTGGGGTGGGGGAGAGAGTGGTTTGGTGTGAGGGTTTGTTCGTCTGTTTGGTGAGTAGATTCCTCGGGCTCTGTCGCTGCTTGAGGGAGGGAGGGTGTGGGGGGAGAGAAGGGTGGGGTGGTGTGGTGATTGGAGGGTGTGG